GAGACAATAAAAAATAAAACAAGGACTAAGTAAAAACACAACTTGAGTACATATTTATCACAAGCTTAGAGATGTGCTATGTGTATGCCCATTGTTGTGCTGGAGTTTTACCTATGTTCTCCTCTGACTGACCATGAATAAATAACACCTAGCAATCAGCAGGAGTGAACCTATATCCACCTCCAAGCCAGGCCTCCTGTTGAATAAGCTTGGACACTGATTCCTAGTGTTTGGGGGCTTCTGGAAAGCTAAATTTTCCCTCTTGACATGCTTTCAAGTTTAGTATGCCCATTGTTGTGCTGGAGTTTTACCTATGTTCTCCTCTGACTGACCATGAATAAATAACACCTAGCAATCAGCAGGAGTGAACCTATATCCACCTCCAAGCCAGGCCTCCTGTTGAATAAGCTTGGACACTGATTCCTAGTGTTTGGGGGCTTCTGGAAAGCTAAATTTTCCCTCTTGACATGCTTTCAAGTTTAGGTCAGTTCTGTTCCATCCACAAGTTCACCACAACCCAGTTCTCCAATGATGGGCATCTGTCCTGAACCAAGTGATGAATGCAGTGAGAATTCTTGTCACTGATGGCAATGATAGGAAATCTGAGCGTTTTTTCCCCCTGCACCTTGTAAGGTTTTATAAGACAGTTTTTGTTTTTTTTTTATGTTAGAGAAAAAAAATTGAAAAATCATTAAGTTCTTTGAAATTTCATGAAACTTTCCCAGTCTTACTAATCTGCTTTTTAGTAGCTGATGTTTCCTCTACCCTTAAAAGTATATTATCCGCAATTTGGGCTGTGATGCTTACGGATTCTAATATAGCCTAAATTTTGGCAGGAAGGCTCCCCTGAGCAGGAGCCAGAGTAAATGAGGTACTTACAAATTCTTCGTACATGTCTGCAGCAAGGCTACGGAAAGTTTCGGCCTGCTTGATGGCACGCTCAAACATTTCCGCAGTGGATACCACACAGTGACCATCGTGGCTGTAACACTCGGGAACCGAGGCCACGTTCTCCCACAGGAGCAGGTTTGACACCAGCAGCAGCAGGAATGCCCCTGCTAAATTAGAAATAGGAGTCTCTCAGGGATGATCAACATGATGATTAATCTGATATGGTCCATACTCATTCTCTCTAAGGAAACCTTATCTCCCAAAGTGCCCGTGGATGCAGGAATTAATATTGAATAGCTGGGACAGCATAAAAAACTTTCACTGAGGGTATTTAGGCAAACAATTATATTTTCCAAATAGTTTGAGAACTAGGTGATGACCCACATTTTGGGATTGCTCCAGAGTGTCTCCTGAATTTTGTAAATGTCTGGAACTGACATTGATTCTAAGCAAAGATTTTTAGATCATTCATGTTATGTATTTTAATATATTTAAGGTTAAGCATATTTTCAGTAACCATACTCTCCAAAAATTGTAATTTTTAAATTTAATGTTTGATATTAGCATTTTGGATATTGTTTCAACTGCAATAGTGCTGTTCATTTGTTTGCTACATCTTCATGTCTGATAAGAATAGACACACTGTCTCCTGACTAATGATAGAGAAGATGAAGAAAATCGTATCTTTAAAGGAATCCTGTAGCCTAGAATTGCTAACTCATAACAAAATCCAATATATTCATTATCTCATCAACTCTAGATTATTTTCTTTAAAGTTGAGATTTGTAATAATCCTGTAAGTAGACTCACCCTTTGTAATTATAACAAATATATATATTTATAAAGGAGAAAGCTTACATAGGCAAATGACTTTCCTTAAGACCCATTATTAGCTGGTGGGATAAGCAGGACACCAGCCCTGGAATTTGCACCGCAACCTGATACAGAAAAGATACCTGTGGATTTAGACTATGCATCTTTCTGGCAAGGATCACATCAAAATTCCTGAGTGTCTATGTTAGCAGAGGTCATTACCACTACTTGCAAAGAACAAACTTTGCCTTTATGACATTATATTAGAAGTTTTAGGAACCTTGGATTAATCTACATTCTTTGCTCTGTAAAATATCTTTAGAAGTTTTGACAACAATCAGTGTTGATTTCAGCAGACAGACAGTGAGAAACCCCTAGTATATCAGTATTTTAAACTGTCCACAGGGTAGAAACAACACAAAGATGCACAATTAAGTCACTTTTTAAGTTTCCAGACATTACTCTTAAAATACTCTGAAATTAAATGATGCTTTTGAGGAAACTAAGTTCCACAAAATCTTTCATAATTGCAATTGGGAATGTCTAACATAAAACTAAGACAGACGTTAAAGATTTATACCTGCAAAGTACCTAAACTCAGATCCTCAAAGTAAACCAGAAAGTGGTGTCACATACTGTGTAAGCAAGCACTATTTAAGCTTCAAAATTAATATGAGAAAATTTATGTTAAATGCTTTCATTTTTCATAAATATATCGCCAAGAATATATTTTATGCTATACATTTGTATAGGAAGGTATTACCTCTTTATAATATGAGAGATTACCATATTCTAAGATAAGATGAAATATAAGAATATTTTTCTATTATATTACTGAAGATCAATTTTATGATTATTATTTCCTGTTCCTGCTAACATCACCTTAAAAATAAAGGCCCTTTGTTACTGATACCCCTTTATAATGTCATTTGGATTACATCAAATTGGCAAGTGGGGTAAGACAAATTTACTATCCAGGACTGAAAGATTCTTCAGCTTCTTAAAGTGGACAAATTCATATTCAAAATTTAATTTCTCTGTCTCGAGTTAAGATGAACTGAGCCCTTTGCCTTTGTGTTCTCAGTAAATTCCAATATCTCAAACTCAGCAACATTTTCTTTTCAAGCTGTAGTCCTTGTTCTGGAAGCTGTCCTCTGTATTGGGAGATGTTTAGCAATCTCCATGGTTCCTACCTACTGATATAAGTAACTCTGTCCTGCTTTTACCCAAACTTCAGTACAAACAACTCAAAATATCTCTGGATATTGTCACATGTCTCCAGGGAGAGAAAGGTTCTTCTGTTTGGGAACTATTGATCCAGGAATCTATTGTGCCCATGTCCTGTTACTTTCTAGGGAATGATTGTGAAGGTCTTATAAACCCTGAGTTACCTTTCCTGCTGATATAATAACACATATGTCTTTGTATCATTTAGGACAACAAAGGTTTCAAAGAAAGAATTACATCCAACCAGACTTGATAGACATCTGAATTAATGGCTCTCATTTCAGGGGGCAGAGGAGAGAGTTTACTTACAGAAGTGAACTTGGCCCAATGACAGCTCCATCTCTGAGAAGTTCTCCAGAAGGAAGGTGCCAACTCAGGAAGGCTGCTTCTCTGGAGCTGTACAGTCAGATACCACTCCACCTCCTATATATGCTAGCAGATCACCCCAGGGGCATACACAGCCATGAGGCATGGAGAAGTCATGTGTCCTTCTGAGTGACCCATGTCTGTCTCTCTTCAGGGAGTATTAACAGTTTCATTACAGTAGCACAGACTTATCTGCATCTGGGTTGCTTTTTGGCTTATTTCTAGACTTTGACTCATGTCCAAGTTATTTTGGAGGTTTCCAAAGCCGTATCTGGTTCATGATATCTAATGCTCATGTCAGATCAGGAGGAAATTTTTGTCCCCCCAAATCTCTCCCATTTCCTTAGATCCATCCATTATATCTCTCCTTTCACAGTGTGTGCTGACAGAGAGGGTGATTTGTATATGACTCTTTTTGAGCAATCAATCACCACGCACAATAGTCAATTGCTCTCTGTAATTCAATAGCCATGATTCTATCTGTAACCACTGACTACTGTGAAGAGTGTCACTCTACAAGCTAAGATGACAGCTGCAGTAATCAATAGGCCTAAACAGAAACGATTGGAGGGCAGTTTGACAAGCACATCAAATCTATTCAATGGAAGAACTCCATGAGTTCCCTTCGATAACCCATGACCTATCAGCTAAATGATTTTGCACTGGTTAAAAATACCAGATATGGGTTCCATTCTTAGAATCTGTCTTAAGTCACACCATAAAGTTATTCATTGCACCAAAAAACAGTTACGCCACTGTTGCCCTAGGGAGTATAACACCTTGATTTGTTTATCATTGACTTAACACATGGGCCATAGCACCACCAGAGACAGTTCTCCCCAACCAGACTCCATAGTGCCTTTGGCAAGTGAAATGGAGTCAAAATGGAGAGCACTTCCACTTCAGTGACATCCTTATTTTTCGAAGTCACACACCCAACTATGTGGTATCCTCAGTGTTGAGTGTAACTAGTTAGTGGTGGTGTGTATTCAGCAGTGGATCCAGTAGCCTGAATGATGTGAGAAATCTCATAAGCCTGCCTGTCTGACAACTCATAAGAAAGCAGCTTGCTCTGAGGACTGGGATTTTATTTAACCACCTTAGGGCCAGCAGGAGTGTATTTCCCTTGTACATATGTACCTTCTCATAAACTCTTTAGTAACTGTCTCTAATACCTTCCATATGCCATACCAAATGATTAGGACCTGCAAAGTTTCAATTTTATGTGTGGAAAGTCTTACAGAGGTTCAACATGAACTTTGTAGGCTCACTGATACCTGATTCAAGAAAGTACAAATTGGTTCCATCCTGTGAAGCAGGCCATAAGTCCAGTCAGAAAGTATTGGTTACCCCATATGACACTCATACCTGGCACCATTTTGGGGTCCATGAAAATGTGACTAGGTAGGTCATAGACCCTAGGCACTACCTTTATTCTGATAAAGGGACACAGTATGGAACCAACACCTAATGACATCATTATACTCATAGATTATTATAGCTCTGAACTCTCATTACAGAAGCTTCTTTTCACAACAGATGGTGATTAGCACAGAGACCCACAACTGGTCCATGTGCAGAAAAAAGAAACTATCAAGTGCTTAGACCCTCCCTGGACATCTAGATTTCCAATGCCTCTATAAGCTTTAAGGATTCTCCTGAAAATGGGATAGAAAGATTGTAAGAAGCAGAGGTGGTGGATGACTTCAATGTAGACAGAGGGGAAAAACAGGGCAGATGTGGTTGATAGAGTGTTTGCAAGACCTGCTCAATGTCAAGCCAGACAAAGCTCCGCATGGACAAGGGAGGTGGGCGTGGAGTCCTACCCCTAGCCGAGGAGCTATTGACGGGTGCTGGGAGAGGAAAAATCAGTTTTCTTTAAGGGTGTGACACCTGGGAGGTCAACCATGCTCTGGGGAAAACTGCATATCCAAGAGTATTTGGACAATACATATTAGACTCAAGGGAGTTTAAATAGAAAAGAGCCTGGGTGTGGTAGTGCATGGCACTTAGGAGGCAGAGGCAGACAGATCTCTGTGAGACAAAAGCCAGCCTCGCCTACGCGATGAATGTCAAGCCAGCTGGGGCTAAAGGGAGACCCTGTCTCAAAAAGATCAAAATAAGTGAATAAAAGTAAAAGAAAAGAGGACATGATGCTGGAAGCGGAGGAGGAGTGGATTTGATGAGACACTGAGGAGGGAATGTGATTACAACCAAAATATGCTGTATGAAATTCTCAAAGAATGAAAACATTATTAGAAAACACAAACTGACTTCTGGATTCTGCGTGTAGATGAACACTAGGCAAATCTGAGAGGTGATGTAATATAACATGAAAATGGCTCAGACTTGTGTCCTCAGCACAAAGTTGTGTGAAGCGGTGAAGGGCAGACACTGCTTCTTTCAGCCCCCCATTATCCATGCTCAGTTTTCATGAACTCCTTAGGTCATTCATGCTGGGACTCCGACATAAGATCACCAATCTGACTAGGTGGAGCTGGCGCAGGTGGCACTTGCTTACCCTGTCTATGGGCCAAGAAGGAGCAGGGCCATTCATGCCTGTCAAACCCACACCCTTCTGCCTGACTCCTCACTTTTGACAGTCTTTTGCTTGGCTCTATTTCCAGGAGTGTTTTGTGAAAGAGTGTCAGGCTAAGTGAGTAATCCCCACTCCACAGACTCCCTTTCCTTAAACAATACAAGGTCACTTTACAGTTCAGAACCTCACAGTAAACTCTCCCAGTGTGATGTGCAACATGATTCCTCACGTCGTATCTACAGGGGAGAATTGTACACAGTGTGCTACTCTCTGAACCATGGATCACTGCCTACCCCTAGGACAGATTCAATCCTTTTCACAACCACTGCTTTCTCCATGTTCACCCATTCTTGCCTTTATTCCCCAGTGATTTCAGTATCATTACAAATTAGAGTCTACTTAGCGCATCGTTAAGATCTCACCAATCCATTCTTTACCATTGGCTCCTTGGGTGCTCTGCAATGGTCTTGCATGAAGGCAACATTGGTTTGACCTGGTATACTGCTCCTCTAGATGTCATGCCTCTGCAGTAGGGCGTGCCCAGGAAATTGCTGCCTGCCTTCTACCTATTCAAAAACTGTTAAGTCTTCAAGAGTCTCATACTAATCAATTAAACCACTTTGTCAACATTTCCCTTGGCCTTTCTGGCTGATGACAGCACGAACCTTGCCACATTAACCCTCAAGGGACCCCTCTTGTCATGTTTCCTTTCCCTGTCTTGAATTCATCAGCACTTATAAAACATGGTTCCATCCAAGAATCACTCAGAATCTAAATAGTCTTTCCTACCGTAACTGTGTTCTTATGTTGAAATATGGCCATAGAAGATAAAATAGAAGGGTAAACACTTGGATCATGCTCCATGGCTATCAGATCATCATTTCTTCCCATTCACAAAGTTAACTTGCTTCTCATGAATGCTGGGGTTGAGAGCTAAAGCTCAGCTATAAAAAGCATAGGAGGTTTATGCTATCCATAACAAACCATGTGTTTCTTGGGTAATTCTTTATCTAGTCAAGTAAACAGTGAATCAGATGCTCCATCACAGGCACCTGAGTACATTGTGCTGTGAACGTCTTTTCTCTAGTCACATTTGTTAAGAGTCCCAAGGGCTTCTTCGATGGTTGGATTTCCATTTTCTTCTTCAGATTTAGGGTTTTTTTCTCGTACATTTTCTCTTTCCATACTTTGATAAATTGATAACAGCCATCTCTCTCTCTCTCTCTCTCTCTCTCTCTCTCTCTCTCTCTCTCACACACACACACACACACACACACACACACACACACACACACAAAACAACAAAGTATCTCCAAATGTAGTTGATGTTCACACTGAAAAGAGAAGAGAAGGTTATGACACTTGGTCCCAAGTTTGTGGTGCAGTTTGGGGAGGGCTAGGAAATCTTTAGGAGAGGTGACCTTGCTCGAGGAGGCCGGTCACTGGCATCAGACTTTGAGAATATATAGCTTATCCACTTCCAGTCTGGTACTCTATCTACTTTCTGTAATTGCTTGGAGACGTGCACTGAGTTTTCTGCTGTGACCATCTCTGCTGCCATCCCTGTCATGATGGAGTCAAGTCTTTATAGAACTTTAAGCCCAAAAAACAAACTCGTCTTTCTTTAAGTTGCCATTGTCACGATGTTTTATCACAGCAACAGAAAGTAACTAGTAAAGAAGTTGGTACCAGTGGGGATTTGTGAGCAACCTGGCCATGTGAGTTTGGGAAAGAATGTGGAAGACTTTGGAAATTTGCTCTAGAAAAGTGGTTGACTGCCTTAAGCAGAGCTTAAATGGCCATTCTTATTAGAAGCCTGAAAGAAAGTAGTGTGTAGAACAGAATAGCTTCAGTGTGAAATACAGACTTGAACAGCAACTGGGGTATTTTGTCAAAGCATCTGGCTGCCTTCTACCAACAACCTAACAGCTTGCTTGAGGCCAAGCTAAAAAATAATGGCTTAATTTCTTTGGCATAGGAAATTTCAAGGTAGGCTAAGGTAGAATCGGTGATGTGGTTATTAATGATGAATATTATAAAGATCTACAATGAAAGAGTGTAAGTGGGGCAGAAAGAAATGCAGAATATACAATTTGGAGAGGAAAAGACCTCTATGAGGGTTAATAATTTTGGAGCCAAGGCGTGTGCTGAAAGTGAGACTGCCTTTGAAAAGGAGACTAGAGCCTTGAGGGACAAGCACTTTTGCAAATGCTGGGACCAACTTACGAAGAAAGAAGAGCACTTCACCCTCCTCATGGGAAGTAGATTCAGCATGGAAGTCCGAGACAGAGCAATCCTATGCAGAAGCCTACTGTGAGACATGTGAGCAGGGAGTCTCAGCTCTATAAAACAGCAGAGCACAGGAAAAGTTTAGAAAGAAAAGGAGTTAGAGGAAAATGCTCTTATAATGTGAGTTGGA